TAGTTTCATATTTGTTTACAGCAATTTGTCTTCTATACTAAAAGTATTACCTGGCCTAAAACACAAGATTTCCTACTTCATGGAGAATGATCAACCAACAATCATTATTTAATGCTGTGCATCAAAGTATCTATTAGGAAACCATTTAATCACCAATAAAATCATTCACTGCTATATGCCAATGTCATATTGAAATATGAGGTATCTGTACTCTGAAGTCTCACAGTCTGTTGGGGGAAACTAACAACTATAACACAATAAGTGCTCTCACAGGGGCAGACCGAATGCTATAGGGGCCCCTAAGATATTAGTGTAAGCTGGACTTGGGGATCAGGACATTTCCCTGGAAGAGATGGCTTCTCAGGTGACACCCAAAGAACAAGAGTGAGCACAGAGGGAAAAGGAAAGAGAAAACTATCCCCATCAAGAACACTTTAAAATAATAGGGTTAAAAAGGAGAATCAAGAGATTAGGCTGAAAAAGATAAGCAGGAACTCAGGTCATTAAGAGCATGGTAAGCCATAGTCCAGAGTTTGAATATTTTCCTAATTGAAAAATTTATTTATCCTTTAAACTGGAGGATAAAGAACGGATTACACTGGGATAGGGAACAAGGCCAGAAACAGTTATTGCTAATAGACTGTTGCAATACTCAGGTAACTAATGGCAATTGTCTGCACAAGGGCAGAAGGTAGGGAGGCACAGAAAATGAAATGTTACCAGCATTTCCAACTTGATGATTAAAGATAAAAGTACGTACACACCAGCATCCTAAAGCTTAAGCCCATTGCCAGTAGTCTTGTTTCTGCTTCATTTTTTTGAGACTAGAACTCATCTGCACACACATGGAGGCTTGAAAATACTACAATCACCTCCAGGAGCTGGTTTGCTGAGGGGCCAGTAATCTAGTGTCATGGTCGCCTTGAGAGCAATCCAGGGAGATTCCCAACAACTGTCAGGCTATATGGCACAAGGCTCTTCAAGAGGAGATAAACTCACTTTTTTGGCACAAAGAAAGCTTGACCTAACATGCCATTGAAGGTAGGTGAATTTGTCCTGCAAGATAATGCTATTATGTCCCCTAAAGAATCATCATTTACAGAAAAAAAGATTACTCGGAGCTGTGCCAAAAGTGATGAAGCTAAAAAATCAAGCCCCCTCTCGTCCACACTGGCATGACTGCTGGCATGTATTCTTACCCAAGCTGGGACTCAAGGTCACAGCTTTTTGTATCCACTCAGAGCCACTGGCCCAAAGCACACGTCTGTTCACAACTGAGGTGGGTCCACTCCAATGCAACTGACTTCCTGGATCCAGAACCACCTAACCAAAAAATGAGGCAAAAGTGCCTAGTTGTAGAAAGAAGATACAAAGAGCTGGAAAAGAGTAAAACATTAAAATGGAGATGAGAGAGGAGGAGAAGGCAAAGCTAAGGTTTTGAAGTAGGAGAAAACAAAAAGAACTCAAGTTCCCTGCTAAGAGTACAGGAGGATGGGGTAAAATAGATTTAGAAGGAACCACAATACAGCTTAAATGGAGATTAACAGGAATTGCTGAAAAACAATGAGGGCCCAGCTAAGAACAAACAGCATGATTCGGAACAGGTCCGACCAATAAGGTTGGGGATTTTCTAACAACTAAAAACAGAAATTGGAAGAGTCAGACTTTTTTTGGCAAATAAAGTGAAGCTGGATTGAGGAATATCCTTTCCCAATATCTAACAAAAAGAACCATAAAATCTAGCAAAGACAAACTTCACCAACAGAAACCTCAAGGGCATTTCTTCATTCCACAAACATCAAAAAGTAGCAGCCGAAAGAATTCTCCCCAATATCAAATTTGTAGAGACATGGACTGCAGAGTCATCCTCACCTTTCTCTAGTGAGTGGTAGGGGGAGGGGAATAGGAATAAATGGTAGGGAAACATAAGTGAGCCCAAGAGATAAGTGACCAGGAAGGATACTCTGGCAAAAGCACATGCTTCAAGAATCCACTGTGAATTAAAAGTGGAACCACCTGAAGCCATAGGAGTAGGCTCAAATCAACTCACAGTTCTGTCCTTATTATGCCAGGAACACGAATGTACAAGGTACTTAACAAAAACCACAAGAGCAAATCTCATTTTTTCCTAAGATTTCACACAGCCCCAGCTAAGCTTCCCCCACCAACACCTAACACCCCCTTGGGCTATATAAAAGTAGACTGAATATCTAAGCCCAGCAGAGAAGATAAATTGATTTTATAAGGAAAGAAAAGGAGTTATCCACAGTATACCAAATAGAAATTCTAGATTGAGTTGTCCATGCTGAACAGAAAAAAAAGAAAAAAGAAAAACCAGCATAACAACTGTATTAACACTACAACAAAAAAGATTAATGCAAAATACAGAAGAGACTAGTGGAAAAGAAATCATAACCCAGAGCACAGATTTCCTATGATGCCTTGTGCTCAAAAAATGTAATAAGAATGTTGATCCAAACATTCAGAAACAGATGATTAAAATAAAACTAGATGACATAGTAGACTATAGAGAAAGCCACTAATTGAAACCTAAAACATCATGATTACAAAACAAATAAGGAAGAAACAAGAAACAGACTAGTCAGAGTTGAGAAACTGACAGAAGGCTAAAGACAATCATGGCTTTAAAAAAAAGATTAAAGCAATCAGATAAATAATAGATATAAAGGACAAATGAGCCAGCATAAAGACAGTTGATAGCCCTGAAATCAAGAAAATGTTCAAAGATCATATTACTAAATATTGCTTTACAGAACTAAGTCTACATTTCAGAAAGGCACACAATGTTTCAAGAAAAATTATTACAAAATAATTTACTGAAACATACTTCAAGTATAGAAAATGCATTTTTCTAACTGGTGGACAAAGGAAATCACCTAAAGTAGTAAATGCACATGTAGGATGAGTGGCAGGGTATTAGGGAAATCAAGTTGGCCTCAGATTTTTCTACAGCAATATATTAAATATAATGCTAGGTTAGTATGACATCTATAAAGTTGCAAGGGAAAGCAAGCATGGCCTAAAATTGTCTTTAAAGTGTAAAAGAACTGAGACAGTCTTGAGAACAAATAAATTCACAGAATATAACATGAGACATTCGTGAAACTTTTTTAGCAATAAAATCCAGCCACCCAAAGATGAACCATATTTCAAACGTAGAGATTATTGATGAACATTAACTCTATTTAGATATGGAACTATGTGAATAATTGTCTCAGGACAGAACATAAATGTTACACCTTGCCATTAAAAATGACATAGGGGCCGGGCACGGTGGCTCACACTTGTAATCCTAGCACTCTGGGAGGCCGAGGCGGGAGGATTGCTCAAGGTCAGGAGTTCAAAACCAGCCTGAGAGAGACCCTGTCTCTACTATAAAAAAATAGAAGAATAATTGCAACTATATTGTTATATATATAAATTTGCCAGGATGTGGCAGTCCTGTGTCCAGTACTCGGAGTGAGGCGTAGATGCTAAGCCAGGAGTTTGAGGTTGTGTGAGCTAGGCTTGACGCCGGTGCCATCACTCTAGCTGGGCAAACAAGTGAGACTCGTTTCAAAAAAAAAAAAAAGACATAGGCCGCCGTACGTGGCTCATGCCCTGTAATCCAGACTTTGGGGGCAAGGTAGGAGGTTCAGTTTAGCGGCCAGGTTCAACACTACCTGGCAGCTAGAGGACTCTGTCTCTACAAAACAATAAAATTGTCTGGAGTGGTGTGCATCCTATAGTCCCAGGCAACTGGGAGGCTGGAGGAGGTCCTTGAGCAGAAGTTTGAAGTTACAGTGAACACAGCATGCCGTGTATCCCATCTAGGTGACGGCCCCATCTCAAAAAGAAAAAAAGGAAAGATAGGACAGGAAAATTAAGAATGTCTTCTACAGCTGGGATAGCACGTGGTTATGCAATACTGTCATACATTTTCGAAGTTTTAGATGTTCAGCTCCTTGTGTTTTCCTTTCTTTAGTTTTAGAGAAAACTTAATAAAATAATTTTTATTAGAAAAGCTAATGAATGTTTCAATAATTCTTTCAGTTACACTTGAGGGTTTTTTTTGTTTGTTTTGCTAAGATCAAGCAAAATTAAATTGAAATATTTAATGACTAGCTCCTCTAGTATGGTTTTTTTTATCAAATCGCTTATCTATACATCAAGTCTTACATCTGTTCATATACACAGGATGACTGTAAAGATGGACACAATTTAATATTAAAAATGCTCATTTAGGCCGGGCGCTGTGGCTCACGCCTGTAATCCTAGCTTGCTGGGGAAGCCGGACGGGCGAGGAGGCGGGATCGATTTGCGGAGCTCAGGAGTTCGAGACCAGCGCTGAGCGAAGAGCGAGACCCCGTCTCTACTATAAATTGAAAGAAATTAATTGGCCAACTAATATATATATAGAAACTTAGCCAGGCATGGTGGTGCATGCCTGTAGTCCCAGCTACTTGGGAGGCTGAGGCAGAAGGATTGCTTGAGCCCAGGAGTTTGAGGTTGCTGTGAGCTAGGCTGACGCACGGCACTCACTCTAGCCTGGGCAACAAATGCGAGGACTCTGTCTCAAAAAAGAAAAGAGAGAAAAAAAAAAAAAATGGTCATTTCTAGCTGGGTAGTAGGGATTTTTATTTTCTTGGTGGTATGCTTTTCTGCTTAGTTTGAATCTTTATAATGAACATGCATCACTTTTGTAAAATAAGTCAATTATTAAGCCAATTGATAGTCTTAGAAATAGACCAGATTTTTAAAAAGACACACAAAGAAGGGAATTTTATATCTTAAAAAGTAATTTTCAAAACAAATTCTTATTGGACTTGAGCAATAGAACAATTTATAGCGAGTAATGAAATAGAAGTTAGAATACTATATGTCAGGATCACTCTTCCCTAAGTGAAGATCTACTTTTAAAAAAAAGCAAATGAGAAAACAAACTTTTAAAACTTCTTACAACAAACTGAACGAGGAAGGTATTTAAAAACACAGTACGTTTATTTAAATTGTTACTTTTCATAGCACATTGAATCTTAACACAGGTCAATATCTTCATCCTACTACCTTACTGGGTACATTCATCAATATTACATAAAACTTCATGTTAAATTAAGTAAGAATTAAAAGTACAGCTAAGAACAGAGTCATGATCTATGTGAGAGGATTCACCATTGTGCACCCTAGTTGCTAATATGTTCATTTTTTCTGTTTCACGGGCCTCTCAACCTGAGACTCATTTTCATCTAAAAGAGAATAAAGCCGCTCCTCTGGCCTCTCTCCCATCACGTGCCCAGTCTCTGCATCATCGGTTTGCATTGACCCAGTGGTACCTGTCCACCTGGCGCACAGCAGGCCTTTGACACTTTGGGTGCTTGTGCGCTGCATGGTAGGTGTTTCCCAGGAGGCCCACGCGGACATCTGCCACGTTCTTTTTTCGGGGAATTTGGAACCAAGATTGAAAGGGCTGTTTCAAGTTTTCAACCTAGGGAAAAAAAAAAAAAGAAAGAAAGCATGAATATCTCTAATAAGGTAGCTCTAAGGACTCAATATGAACCATAACTCGGAAGTTCAGCCTTTCAAAAACACAGGGAGTACAAATGAAAGTAGATAACCACCTTTGGAAAATTCACTAGTACTTGGGGTGTGGGTAAAAAGTAAGTCACTTTATACTGTACCTTTTAACAAAAGTAATTCTTTAAGCCAACTAAAATTTTAAGAACACGTTGACTCAAATTCGTATATATTCTTGGGTTTCTCCCCCTTCCATCCCCACCCCACTCTGCCAGCCCAACCCAAAACTAGTTATTCATGATCTGAGGCCAAGGCCTAGAAATATCCATCCCAGATGACTGATACACATGTTTAATGGACCACATAAAAGGATGTAACTGATTATAGATCTGATTTCTAGATAGAAGGTAACCTTTCTAAGCATAGAAATACAGTAAGTCCTCATGTAACCTGGTCAATAGCATTGTGAAAATTGACTTTAAGTGAAGTGCAGCAGGTCCTCAAATAGCAATGTTTTGTTATAATGTTGAGACAAACTGGTTTCATTATACATTTTTGTTTAAAGTTGCAGTTTCCAAGAACCTGCACAACAGGTTCCACGACGTTGAGGACTTACTGTACTTCTCTATATAGTTTTAAACTTTATACATATAGAACTATATATAAGCTAGACACATATGGTTTATAGAACTAGGGGAAAAATATTTGTCAGTAATATGACAAAGGGGTGAAATACTTCTGTGACCTATGAGGAACCTAAAAATTACACATTAGGAATTAGGAATGAATGGATAAAGAAGAGAAAATTCATAAGACAGTAATTGCTAAAACATTTGGGCACATGGCAATTTAAGTGTTTAATTTCACTAATACTATTGTAGATGTGTATTATTTTTATCAAATTCTGTTTTTTTTAAGTGAGAATAGCGAATTATAGGAATAAGGGTAAAGCAGGCACTTTTACATATAGCCAATGAGACTACAAAGAAATACAATTTTCTGTATGGTACTTTGGCCACATAATAAAACCAGTAAAATATCCATACTCAATGACACAGTAATTCCATTCCTGGGAATCAAATCTCAAGAAATAACTTAAAATTCAGATATATCACTATATAAGTTATCAGCTTTTAAAATCTAGAATGTCTGCCAATAATAAAATTACAAGGGAAGCAAATGAATATTCAAATATTAAAAATTACAATTGCTTTAACAACTAATACATAAGCAATTAATTTAAGAAAATATACAAACAACTATACATGAAGTTTAACAGAGATTCTAGATCAGTAAAACACTTATAATACTGTCACAAAATCCAATTAGGTGCTTGAAATCAATTAAATTTAATTGGAAGCATTGGGAGGAAAAGTATTGTTTCATGAAACTTTTAGATAAATGTGCATATCTTTCAAGGGTTGTGGTTTAAAAAAATGTTTCAAAAAACTGCTCTAATGGCAGGATTATAGACCTTTGACCTTTCCTAAGTATTCCAAGTTTTCTATAAATGCCATGTTATTTTTGATTAACAAAAAGAAAGCCCACTAACCTTAATATTTAATTCTGAATAAATCCAAGTGGAAGGAAATCTGTGTGTCTTCAAATGCTATACAGAAAAATGGGACAACAAAAGATTGTGTAGATCCTAAGAACTCAGCCAAGCAAAGGGAAGACATGGGGCACATGTGTGTGTATGAGAATAAATCTTTGCCAGAAGACTAAGACTGTGATTTTTTTACGGTTTTGTTTTCTGTTTTGTTATTTTTACAGTGAGCACATTCTAGAATTCTATTCTAGAATTAGAATAGAAAACAGTATAGAAAAGAACTGGAACACACTTGACCTGATAAATACTCTTTGGATTGCTGACTTTAGGAATGATTCGAGGTTCCTTGCTATAGCTTTCTTCATCGGAGGAAGTGCCAGAGGAGTAGTCTAATGAGGCTCTATTAACAGCATAACTGATTTGTTGATATAGTTCCCATTCCTCCCATCTACCTCTAAAAGAAGCAATTGTAAATGGATGATTTTTCTCACCATACCTAAGTAAGAAAAGAAATTTAAGAATGCATTAAACATTCAACTTCACACAAGTTTTTATCTCTAATCTTTTCCGGAGACAATATGCTAACTTACAAAAAGTTATTTTAAAAGGGATAGGCCTAAAAAAATGAAGGGCATTATGATCTTCAGCTACTACTCTGTTATAATTACTGATGATATTCTGTAAGAGCTATTTTGGTTAATTGCTCAGAAAAAGACAGTTTATTTTGATTCAACTAATGGTCTGAATTGCCCCACGATTGATAACTCCTCTTCCTTCCTGAAACTGCCTATAATAATTAAAGTTACAAATCTACAGTTTGCAATAGGGTGCACTGATTCAAGTCACATTTCAAATATTCTGCAAAGTCTTTGTGCTCCCCATTCCAACCACACCTAATGAAAGTCTGGTATCTGACAGAATTTTGCATCTAAAATCTTAACCAAAAGTGTCCTGGCTGCTAACCCAAGGCTTTGGGGCAGCATCTTTCGCAAAGGTGTATAGAGCTGATTGAATAACCTGAGGCTTCCAGGGGTCACAGACCGTGAGATTACTCACCTACAGCACACTTCAAAGGGATCTACCCATATGGTCATCTCCTTCGGAAGTCCCAGTTGAGAAAAATCCACATTACTCTCAGCACAAGCCTTTTCCAGAATGGGATCTTTATTCTGATTGTTGTTTATCCTGATACATCTTTTTTAAAAGGAGGAAAGGGAGATGAAGACATGACTACAGGCTTCAGCAGGAGAATCACATTGTGGGTGTACTGCTCCAATACACACGGCTCCCACCTAACCCCCACTTTTCCCTCGTCTGCCTCCAACCTCCACTCCTACAAGCAAGAGCAAGACACAATCAACTTTTGATACAGTGACTCAGAATGGGTGTTGCATCATTAAGTCACATAATTATTAATAGTGCACCAGATATTCACAGCTTATCTTTCGTGGCAAATGCAAGTTAGAAATTGTTTACTCCACTTCACATAAAGGGGTTTGCTCTATTGTTTTCAGCTGCGCTGTCATCTACCACATCTCCTCCTTTCAAGCCCATGTTCAAACAAATGAATTTGAGCCCATAGAACTGTTGTTATTGCATTCCCCTAGCAGGTGCTGTTGCTTGCCTCCTTCCTCCCCTTTGCCATACCGCACACTAGCTCTCACCTGAAGGCTTGCCCTTTGGAAGGGCAATCAGAGTGCCAGTGACTTCTGTATGTTTCAAACAGGATTGTCATCAGCTTTTCTGAAAAGTCTTCTATTTGCTGTTTATTCAGCTTATCGTGTTTTTTCACCAATCTTGTGACAAAGAAAACTGTTGTTGCAATTTCATCTCTCATGATTCAAGAAAAATCTATAAGGAGATCTGAAACCATCAAAAGGAAGCAAGAATAAATTAAGTAGAAACAAGGGTTTAATGTACTGTCAGTCTAGGATTGCCATTTGGAAATTTTATATGCCTTAAGCTTAAGACAAATTATTTTCTATAAAGAAGCCCTTCGGGAACTAAGAAGTACAACACTATCAATCAACAAAACAGCCAAGAACACCAATTCCTCAACTAGCTCATCTTTAAAGTTTTTCCAAGAGAAAAAAAATTTTTTAAATTTTAAAACACTTAAGAAATAAATGAAACATCATTATGCAACTTAAGTGGAAAAGATCCTGATATGGGACAGTAAATTACACCAAACACCACTTTTTAAAAAACATTATTTATAAAGAGCAAAACATTTCAGGAGACAGTAATTCTAAAATGTGGCTCACAAGTTGCACACCTTAAGTTGATATTAATTAAGCTTATATTATACTTACCAACAAAAGCTCTTTAGCCCCAACAAAAAGTGGGCCAGAGTCAGAAGACCTTACTCTATGCTTCTAACTCTCGCCCATACCTGCTTGTGAGTGCTAGGCTGAAGTTTATATAAGCCTGGGCCCTAAAGGCTGATTAGTGTTTCACCTTAAACAGGTGATGTACATTAGGTTAATCATATAGTTTTTTCCAGGTCTCCATCAGATTGTTCCTCAGCATAAGTAGAGTAGTTTCATTATTTAAAGTGCTTAAAGATTTTCAAACTGGATTCTGTATCTTCTATTTTGCTATTAAAATCATATCTTTCAAGACATGGAGTAAGAATCAAGCCTTCTTCCATAGCCTAATATTCTACATTCCAATAATTCCATCTGTAATTCTTTTAACATTTTAAAGAATTTTGTCTTGGATCTTTTACAAAACTTAAGACAACTTTCTTTGAACAGTCACCATGTTAACCACGCATATTTTTTTTTACTTAAATGTTTACTCATAGAATAAATGGAAGAGATCTAAGTTTATCTAGTCTCACTAATTCTCAAAGGGTGGGTCAGTAACTACCTACCTGGTTTGAACTCACTGGGTTGCCTGTTTAAAATGCAGATTCTTAGGCCTTATCCCAGATCTGCTGAAGTAATTCTTCTAAAGGTTAAGGCCTGGGAATCAGTATTCAACAAGTTCCTCCCAGGGGATTCTTATACTCACTAAAATTTAAGAATCATCACACCTGATATATGTAAGTCTTTAACATCCAGATTAGTGGTCATTCAGTTTCTTCATAAGTGAAAAAGAATTCACTCTTACAAGAAAGCCCATATCACTTCTTAGAAACTCCAAATACCAGTCAGTCCCTCCTTTCTACACGGAGCCAAATCCACCTCTGATTTTCTATATGTGCGGCCTAGTTCTTCCCTCTGGAATGGCACAGATTACATTTAATCTTCCACCACACGATGACGTTTCAAATATAGTTATTTCAAATATAGTTATTCTTCTCTTTGTGGAGCCTAAATATTCTCAGCTTTTTATTATCAGTTCTTCCCATAGACATGTTACTCAGTCAGCTCCCCATTCTGGCTGCCCACATCCAGATCAGTTTCAGGTGTGTGAGTTCTTTTTTTTTTTTTTTTTAAAGTGTGGGGCCCAGACTTGCACATGCTGCTCCAGGTGTGCTCCACCCACAAAGACTAGTGTGGGACCCTCGCCTCCTTCCCTTTGGATACTGTATTCTAGGACTCGGCCTCAGGTGGCATTCACCTTGTCGGCAGTGGCATCACACCACTGCCTCACACTGAACTGACAAGTACTCTTTTTCACTAATGCTATCGTTTTGTGACATCTTTCCCTCCCTGCACAGTATAGTGTTTAAGACTATGGGCTTTGCTTCTGCACAGCCAAAGAAACTGTCAAGAAAGCAAACAGACAACCCACAGAATGGGAGAAAATTTTCACAAGCTACACATCTGATAAAGGGCTGATAACTAGAATCTATTTAGAACTCAGGAAACAGGCCGGGTGCAGTGGCTCACGCCTGTAATCCTAGCACTCTGGGAGGCCGAGGTGGGTAGATTGCTCGAGGTCAGGAGTTCGAAACCAGCCTGAGCAAGAGCGAGACCCTGTCTCTACTATAAATAGAGAGAAATTAATTGGCCAACTAATATATAGAGAGAAAAAATTAGCTGGGCATGGTGGTGCGTGCCTGTAGTCCCAGCTACTCGGGAGGCTGAGGCAGAGGATTGCTTGAGCCCAGGAGTTTGAGGTTGCTGTGAGCTAGGCTGATGCCATGGCACTCACTCTAGCCTGGGCAACAAAGCGAGACTCTGTCTCAAAAAAAAAAAAAAAAAAAAAACTCAGGAAAATCAGCAAGGAAAAAATCAAACAACCCTGTCAAAAAGTGGGCAAAGGACATGAACAGAAACTTTCCAAAAAGAAGACAGAAAAATGGCCAACAAACATATGAAAAAATACTCAACATCTCTAATCATCAGGGAAATGCAAATCAAAACCACAATGAGTATCACTTATCTCCAGTGAGAATGGCCTTTATTAACAAGTCCAAAACAATAAATGTTGGCATGGATGTGGAAAGATAGGAACACTCCTACACTGCTGGTGGGACTGCAAATTAGTTCAACCTCTGTGGAAAGCAATATGGAGATATTGTAAAGTGATACAAGTGGATCTACTATTTGATCCTGCAATCTCATTACTGGGCATCTACCCAGTAAAAGAACAAAAGTCACTCTACAAAAAAGACACCTGCACTTGAATGTTTATAGCAGCACAATTCACAATTACAAAGATGTGGAAACAACCCAAGTGCCCATCAGTACATGAGTGGATTAATAAAATGTGATATATGTATACCATGGAGTACTATTCAGCTATAAGAAACAATGGTGATATAGCACCTCTTGTATTTTCCTGGATAGAGCTGGAACCCATTCTATTAAGTTAAGCATCCCAAGAATGGAAAAATAAGCACCACATGTACTCACCAGCATATGTCCTAAGTGGACATATAGGAATAACATTTATCGGGTGTCAGGCAGGTTGGGGGGAGGAGATAGGTATATACATACATAATGAGTGTGATGTGCACCAACTGGGGGATAGACACACTTGAAGCTCTGACTCGAGGCGGGAGGGGCGACAAGGGCAATATACGTAATCTTAACATTTGCACCCCCATAATATGCTGAAAAAAATAAATAATAATAAAAAAAAAGAATATGGGCTTTGAAGTCAGGCAGACCTGAGAGTGAATTGCAGCTCACTATGGTGTAACCTTGGGCAACTTAATTTCCTGCCTGTTAAACGGGAGGTACAACAGCGACCTCACAGGGTTGTTCTCAAAACTACAATAGATAAAGTATTAAAGCAGGGTGGCAGTACAGCAGAGTAGTTAAGAAATCAGTTATAGAATCAATATTGTGGGACCAAGTCCCAGTCCTCTAGTTTACTGGAGATTTGGAGAAGTTTCTCAAACTGTCTAATCTTCGAGATTTGCATCTATAAAAAGATGGTAAAAAATGTACCCTACTAATGCTTTGGAATTAAACTATTGGCTTTGGATGCTAGCTCAACTTATTGTGTGGCCTTAGCTAGTTATTTAACTTCTCAGCGCCTCAATTTCCTCATTTATATAAAAGAGATACACTACCAGTGCCCACCTTTTAGGGATGTTATGAGAAGTGTAAAATGCCTAGAAGAGTACCTGGTACTCAGTAAGTGCTCTATAAATAGATTAATTAGAGTAATGCAAATATTTACTTTAATGTTATTAAGACAAATAAAAAGTTGTTTAAAAAGTAATAAAGGTTTTTGTTATTATATAACTTGTAGTTTCTATAAATCAACAGGTCAAAATTTACATATAGAGTAGCATATGAATCTGGTAATTATAATCAGAGTAGCATATGAGTCTGGTATTCATAGTCAATAAGCTTTATATCCTAGCCTCTGAGAGTATAAATTACAGTCATTTTGTTTTTATAAAATAGTATAAGTCAAAATTCTCATACTAATTAGTACAAACCACTATTATACATGTAAAGTTAGTACTCATTCATGGGATTACAAACTCTAAGGTAATATTCATGGTCTGAACCTGATAACTTTTCTGTTTTTAAACTATCATTTCCTTCCATAAAATGAATTCAAGAGGCTGAAGTTATACTTATTTCTCCACTGTTCCTTATGGTCATGGCAAATTAATTAGTCTTACTATATCTCTGTTTTACAGAATTACTCCCTGTCTTAATTTAGTTCCTCTGCGTTATCAAGAAAAAAAGGCGAAACAAGATGCCTCTGTCGGTGATGTGAGCAAATACATAACATGAAAGATAATGGTAAAATAAATTTCACATAAAAGTTCAGAATGAATGGAAAACTAAATATGTTAATCTTTAGGATCTACTATGCTTGCATTCTACTAACAAGATGAAAATTAGTCCAGGCATGGTGGCTAGCATTTTGGGAGGCCAAGATGGGAGGATTACTTTAGGCCAGGAGTTGGAGACCAGCCTGAGCAACACAGTGAGACCTCCATCTCTACAAAATAAATAAATAAATAATAATTTTTTAAAAAAGAAAATTACATCTTAGTGACAACTGGTCACACAAAAAAGAAATATTTCAAGTGACTCTAGAACACATTGGAATATATTCTGAAGACAGCACTGTAAAAATTTATCTTTTAAAATAATCATTTTATAGCCTAATTGTTTATAGTAAATTGTTTATATATATTAGTATTATATTGAAACTATCATATAGAAAGAGAGAGGGACAGAAAGAGAGGCAGAGAAAGAGACAAGAGTGGGATAACACGAATACTTGTTTCAATGTTATTAGGAACTAAGATTTTTCATATAAGGAAAAAGGATATATCAGTATAAAATCAAAGAAATTAAGTAAAAATCCTATGATATTAAATTTTGAAATGGCAATATTAATATGAACTTGTGGTTTTCTTTCCTTTCAAAAATATACTTTTTAGTTCTGTCTCCTGAAAAGGCCTCTAGAATCAATAAGCAAACCTAGCACTCATT